CTCGTCATTGTGTCAATTGACTTTAAACTTAAAATTTTGTATGATAATACAAGTTTATTATGCAGATTTTACAACTGTTTAGGAATTTGTTTTTCAATTATATGACTGATATTTTATAATTGAGAAGCAATGAACGCACATACACTACTAGGGTTGTAAAAATCGAACTCACAAACCTCCATGTATGGATTGTTTTTTTCCAACATGTGTAGGTCATTTTTTACTAAAAAATGTATATTAAAAATAGGTGATTACAACCTTGTTCTTATAATGACAAGAAGACATGTGAGCACATAAGCACAGACATAAAGTTCATCTCCGGCACGCACAAAAGATTACGTATGTATATTAGCAACCATTTGATTACTTCGTTTGGTAACCGGTAATCCCACAAACATCTTTTATGTGTCTTGCATGGATAGCCACTAACAAAGAACTGCTCCCTCCATCACAAAATAAAACAACGAAGGATAGGATATGATATAACCTAATATGACATCTCATCTCTATTTTGAGATGAAGAGAACACATAAATACTTTGGAAGGCAAAGCCTAAACTACCTTGTAGATATAAGTTTATGTAGAAGAAACATAAGTTTTACTAGATGTGTCAATTGATTAGTTTGACTCAATACACAAGTCCGAGTCGCGAATAGCCTTGTAGTTGATTTGACATTACAAGTTTATAGTTTATATGTTACTCCCTCTCTCTTTTTATATTACTAGAAAAATACTCGTGCGTTGCAAAGGATGAAGTCTATTTTAATCTTATTATTGTTATATGGTTTAGTTAAGATGAAATTCACTATGGGAGTACGCTTGGATATATATTTTTTTAGAAAATCATGAGTTGTAGTTAGGAGACCGATCGTCTCAAGTTAGCATGTGAGTTTTTTTTTAAACAGATTTCTTATATGATTCATTCTGTATTACTAAAAGTGAACGATCTTAAAAACCGACTCAAATACGGATATGTATTTCCAAAAGCAAAACGAACTTAAAAACCGACTCATACACGGATGACGTACCAAAATACCAGCAAAAACATCTTCAATTTTTATAATAGTAGAGATAAAGATAGAGAAGAGATATAGATTAAAACCAAAACATAAAATTAAAACCGACTCAAACACGGATGACGAACCACGGAAACATCTTCAATTTTTATAACCGACTCAAATACGGATGACGGACCGCGGAAACATCTTTAATTTTTATAATAGTAGAGATGCCCGTTCATTGCAACGGGTGAAGTCTATTTTAATCTTATTATTAATATATGGTTTAGTTAAGATGAAATTCACTGTGTGAGTTCGCTTGGATATATATATTTTTAGAAAATCATGAGCTGCAGTTAGGAGTTCGATCGTCTTAAGTTAGCATGCGAGTTTTTTTAAACAGATTTCTTATATGATTCCTTCTGTATTAACAAAAGCAAACGAACTTAAAAACCGACTCATACACGGATGACGTACCAAAATACCGGCAAAAATATCTTCAATTTTTATAATAGTAGAGATAAGACATAAGTCATTTTGATTTTTTTTTCTAATCAACTTTGTGAAGCAACATCTAAAACACCAAATTAGTTTCATTAAATTTAACATTGTATATATTTTGATAATATATTTTTTTGTTGAAAAATGCTACTATATTTTTCTATAAACTTAATCAAACTTATCAAACTTAAAGAATTTTGACTAGAAAAAAGTCAAAACAATTTATAATATAAAACGGAGGGAGTATATTACAAAACAATTCACAATGTCAAAATATTTTACAGCCACTCTTGTTGCTTCCAAGGAATGAGGATATATGGAAACATATCTTATGCATAAATATCACGAAAATTGATATAAAGAAATGGACATGTACTCCTAAAAGTATTACACATATATGCAAAGTCTCATATTCAAATTCTTTATATTTTAGCCGTAGCAAAAAAAAAGTGAAAAATCTGATAATTTTAAGAGTAAAAGTGTGTTACGGTTAAAATATAAAGAATTTGAAGATAAAATTTTACGCATAGGTGTAGTACTTTTAAATTTACGTGTCTAATTTTTTTAAAAAATTTTTATGGTATTTGTTAGTTGGTGTGTACAGAAATTTTGTTTGTATAGGATATTTTTCCAAGTAATTTTTTTCCGTTTGTTTTAGTTTTTTCCCTGTTATTTTAATAAGATAACCGATCGATTATTGGACTTTGCTTTAAACAAAAATTGCGTGGGCTGGTGACCACGTGGTTTGTACAAAAACAATAACGGAAACACGGAGGGATCTGCCTAACTAGTATCCATAAATTCAATAACTGAACGTGTGCTCAGAGACATTTTCGGATGATCCTAGGACTTGCTGGCTCCAAATTAGACCAATGACGTCGTTCGTGATTAGGTTTTGGAGGAGGTACGTCATTTACGACTCGTGAGTCGTGACAAACGTGCGCACTGTCACGGTGATGGATCATCATTGGTCTACAGCCTTTTTAATCGAGGCCGAAAGACAAAGCCCATATCAAACATCACTGGAATTATGTCCACTGAAATTAGGCCGTTGTGTCCTCGTTTGGTTACAACGACAGTAAAGACATGTTTGGTCAGCTTTTACTTTGAAGCTACACCTTAAGAGCAAGTATAATAGTGAGCTATAAGTCTATTATAAACTTATGTGGAGAAGAGAGAAAATAAAAAATTAAGAGGGTTGGCTCTCATGCAAGAGCTAGCTTAACACAATCTCTAAGACAAATACATTAAATATATAAGTGAGAGATAGAGAGAGGAGAAGAAAATTACAGTCAGCCTTATAGCTAATCTATTATATATGTTGGTTTTAAGATAAGCTAATAGTAGAAAGTGAGCTATACTATTATCCTTAGCTATTATCCTTACTGTAAGGATGATGAGGTAGAGCTGAGGAGTGGTGGTACCTTCGTAGTGTATTATGTAGGATCTGCGAAGTGTTTGATATATCTCCAACTTCACGAGATAAAAATCTCGAAGCAGGAGCATCGAACGGGACCAAAATTGTACATGCCCAGAAATTCGCGTTGATGTTTGACGCTAAATAATGTGCCGATTCGGCCTGAACAGTTGGCCTGAAATACGGTGAAATTACGGGACAATAAGTTCACTTTTACTCCCTTAACTAGTTACCGAATCTGATTCGTATCCCTTAACCATAATACCGGATATCTTGACCCCCTCGACTATTAAACCGATGCAATTTAAATCCCACGGTAGTTTTGGAGAACGGTTTTGCTGACGTGACGGTATTGACCTAGTCTTCATTCCACGTTACGCTTAGGTGGCATTAAATTAAAGCATATGTATGGGACCATTTGTCATTCACACAAAAAAAAATATTGTAGAACCCACTGACATGTGGGGCCTTCTCTCTCCCTTATCTCTTTCTCTCCCCTCCCTCCGGTCCCTTCTCCCTCCTCGCCACTCCCTTCTCTCTCCCGCAGTGGGCGGCAAGGGCCGGAGCGGCACGGGCAAGCGGAGACGGTGGCGGAGCCCCTCTCTTCTCCCTCTCTTTCTCCTGCAGCGTGCGGTGAGGTCTGGAGCAGCGCGTGCAAGCGAAGACGACATTGAGTAGCGGAGCCACCTCCCTCTTCCCCCTCTCTCTCTCCCGTGGCGTGTGGTGAGGGCCGGAGCGGCGGTAGGCAAGCGGAGACGGCGGCGAGCGACGGAGATGCAGGCGTGGCACTGCGGCCCACCGGTATCCTACGGTGGCCGCCATGGACAGGGTGAGGTGGGGCCAGGGATCTCCCTGACAACATCCTCCTTGGCGTCATCGCCCGCCTCTCTTGCTATGTCGACCTCGCCTGTGTGTCAACAACCGGTGGCATGCCGCCGTGTCCCCTGCCGCCAATTGAGCTGGACCAGCGTCGAGATCACCTCTGGGATGTGGCCGATCTCCTCAATGGAGTCTGGGTTGTCCAGTGGCCATGACGATGCTCGGCTCCGGAAGGGTGATGACATTTCTCAGCCCCTCGCTGGTGACCAAGCATGTGCGGCACCCGGCCTCGATCTTCGCCGGTGGCCAAGGTGAAGAGAAAGGGAAAGAGAGATAAGAGAGAGGGGGAGGAGAAAGAGGGGAAGGAGAGAGGATAACACGTGGTTCCCATATGTCAGTGGGTCCCACAATATATTTTGTGTAAATGACAGATGGGTCGCACACATATTTTAATTCTAATGCACCTAAGTGCCACATCAACGCCACGTGGAACGAAGACCAGGTCAATACCGCCACGTAGGCACCACAAGCCGCTCTCCAAAACCACAAAGGGAACCAAATTGCACCGGTTTAAATAGTTGTGAGTTCAAGATATCCGGTATTTTTGGTTATGGGATATGAATCAGATTTGGTGAGTCAAAGTGAACTTATTCTAATTGTGGGTAGAACTTGTTTTGGGCCAAATACGACTTTCGGGCTGAATTGAAATGCAACTACAGGCCGAAGTTATGCGGACCTACGGGCTGAATTTACGCACTGTTTTGGGCTAAATTAACTAGCAACTGTTGGGCCTGGTTGACGCGCATGGTCGGTCCCAATTGTCCCATGCACATTGACATCACTTTTGGGCCAATTATATGCTTACGTCATTTACGCTTCTTTAACTGGGAGTTCGATGGATTTCTTTACCCTGATTTGTCAGTGTAGACTCCTGTTCTCTCTCCATGCAGTTAAAAGTTTTATTTCCTTTTTTTATATTTTTCGGGGATGCTAATGATGTTGCTTATTGTTGATGGCAGGTAACCTCATAGGAAATGCATAGTTGGAGTAGATGGGAGTGTTTTAGGTAGCCCATGATCAAATTCAAGCCTGATTGGATTGGGTTGGCTATGAGTTCACCTAATTTAACTACCGAGTGATCAAATTCTTCTACAAGGCTACAAGATGACTGACTCGCTAGACTGAACTTGTTCTGCTGAAATGTACTCCTTTCAAAATCCATTCCTCAACCACAACACGTCAGGAATGCAAGTAACAAGAGAGACTGCTAGTACACAGATATCATACACAAACAGCATATGTTACACATAAAAAAGAAGAGAGATCTCCTGATAATTCATGCATTCGATGCTTATATGAAACTTATTACACAAGGCGTCGTGTTCTCTTCAATCACAGCATTGAAGAACGACCATTTATAGCTACTCCTAACACATGCTACTAGTATGAGATTAATAACAGTATCACTACCTAAGTTTTTTTTCTCCTCTGTTTGACGTGAGCTACAAAATGCACTCCTAACATTTTATAACCTAACACTAAGAACACTAAAAGGATGAAAATATACACGAGCAAAGTATAAGCTGAATTGCTGAAACTGAAGCGCGTGTCCTGTAATAATATTTACATCTCTACAACCTCCGATTCGAACGCCTCGAACAGGTTGACGCTGATGCTGGCAAGGTTCTTGCCCCAGACGGGCGACGACCTCGCAACCCTGCGTTGCAGCTTGGGCGCCCCGGGAGCTTCTTCTTCCTCCTCGCCGCCTCTCAAGGCGGCCTTCGAGGATGGCGTCGCAAACGCGAAATGCTGCTCTCTCGCAACCACCGTCTGCACGGAGAGCAACACAGAACACATAATGCAATTTTTAGTCCACATGCAAAGAATTCATCTAACCATGATTCGTATTTGGAGGAGTTAAGGGATCAAAAGAATCCAAGATACGTACTGCTTCGCTAACTTGTTTTGACACTAGGAGCAGCGGCCTCAGGTCACTGTGGTTCACCTTGCACAAGACCTTAATCTGCACGAATATTTCGACGGAAATCGAGGTTAAGTACTAGCGCAACTCATAGAATAATCAGCAACAGAATTGAACAACAAAATCTGAGTAACTAATTGATTCGGTGCTTAATTACCAAGACATCTTGAGGCAGTGATTCGAGCAGGCTGACGGCGTCGTCCATGTGGAGCCTGGTGCTCCGCTGCTTGCGGAGAGTCCGCACCGGCGAGTGCGGGCCGCCGGAGGGGGGCGGAGCCGGCGAGACGGCGACCCTCTTCCTCCCCAGGATCCTCGTGCTGCTGCAAGAGAAGCTCAAGCTCGTGGAGAGAGAGCTCTTCGTCTTCGCCTGTCCAATTGCCATTTTTGTTTCCCCTTCCGATGTCAAATCCTACTCTACTCTGTTTCGTGGTAGAAATTAGTGGAGTAACCTGACCTCAGATCTTCTAAACGCAAATCTGCATTGAAATAGATGGGGATAATGAATAAATGATCGCGCAGAACAGAATTGAAGACCTAGATTTGCAAAATCTCTCGAAGATCGCATTTCAAAACAGTGGAGATAATTCAGCTATAGTCAGATTTCATTTTTTTTGGGGGGGGGGGGGGGGGGGGGGGGAATCGGAACAGTTGAACACAGACCAGCTGTTCAACAGAAATCTCCAATTTTAAACGAGGGGGAAACCACAGCACAAATTCCTAAAAAAGCCACAAACCAAAACAAATCCCAATTAAGCAAATCTTCACTTCTTCAGCACAGAGCAATTCGCGAGAAAGCCATCCGCCAAAACACAACGAATTAGAACAGCTCCGCAACAAAAACAATTCGGACCAAAAATCAGAAATCCCAACCTCCAATTAATCTCCATCAGAACTAATCAAATAGAGATGAAAAAAAAACAGAGATCGCGAGGAATGTGTACCTTTCTCTGCTCCTTCCAAGTCGGAGAAAATCCCCCCTGTAATCTCTCACCCACCCCTCGCAAGAACGAAAACGAAAACAAAAAACCTCGGGTAAATCACTACAATAACAGACTTGGGTAAATCAATCAATCACTCGAGTTCGTCGGATGATCCAAGAAAACCTCGTAGCTTTTTTCCCCCCTAACTCGCTAAGCAAACTGAATGGAGAATGAAGTGGTAAAAATAGAAACAGCTGGCCACCTCTACCGCTTGTTTATATAGGAGCTCCCATTTTTTTCTGCTGCTGCTGCTCGCGAGGCGAACCTGCCTAGAAAAATCTCGCCGCGAGGGGGGTTTCTAGAAAATCGTAGCAACCGCCGGTATCCAAAGCTTTCTGGGTCGCCGGAATCTTCCGCACCAAGCAGCCCACGTCCTAGGTGGAGGGCGTTTGCTTCTCGCTGACGTGTGGGGCCCGGTCAAAGAGGGCCCACATGTCGGTGGGGTGGGTTGGGCGGAGTGGGGGTGAGTCGAGGGGATTTGATATTTTTTTGTTCTTTTTTGAAATCGAGGTGGGTTGGCGCCCAACCGCGTGCGTGGGGTTAACGCGTGGATCGGACGGTGCGGGAGGGGGTGGTGCGCGTGGCGGATCGGGGTACGTGGCGGGATCTGGTTGCGCGGGGAACTAGCCGTTGGGGGCGGCGGGAGTGGGAGAGAGGGGTATGGACGTTTTGGTGATGTGGCGGCTGAGATCGCCACGCGCGAAAGTCGGTGGAGGTCGGTCATCCAACACCGTTTTTTTTTTTTGAATGCCTCCAACACCGTATTTTACTCGTGTTTTTCCCTCTTTTTGTCGTAGCTGTGGTAGCTGGAGTATTTTGCAAATGGAAATCTTTTTTTTTAAACCGTAAATGGAAAATCTTGTGTCCAACTCATAATGCGTTGCGAGTAGTAGTATAATCAGTTGGCGTAATTTGAATTTAGGAGAAACCAGGAAATGCAAAACTTATCGTTTGTTTTTCATTCATTTTAAGTTTTTTTTTTGAGGGAACACCGGGGGATTCATTTTAAGTTCAATAGTAACTAGGTGAAAACCCAGTTTCTTTATTACTAAGAAAACGTGTTTGTTTCGAAGAAGCAACATCAGACAAAGACAGTAGTTAGTTGCTTCCTACTAATTCAAATTAGTTGCCCACATGTTCAACAAACAGCGCACGGGAGAAACGCCCTCGTTTTTCGCTAGTTTTTTCGATTTCAAACATTGTAATACAACCATTTTTCCAGGGGACAAATTGCATTGCAACTGTGCAGTCATGGGGTAGTATCCGTCCAACAAGGGTGCCGTCAAACGAGTAGAACGAGTCCTCTTCGCCGGCCGGAATGCACGCTCCCTCCACGCGGCAAAAACCCGCCTCCGCCGCTGCGCCTTCCCCTGTTCGCGCGCAGCAACGTGGGATGGGCCTCCGGCCTCCGCGGTTCCGGCTCACCTCGCCTTCTCGTGGGCTACGAGATTAGCGTGGATTTGGGCCCATGGGCCGTTCTCTAGACTGTTCATCTTATTCGAACGGGAAAAGTACACCGAAGGTCCCTCAACTTGTCATCGAGTTACAAAATCGTCCCCCAGCCGCAAAACCAGATATCGGAGGTCCCTCAACTAACAAAATCGTTCGCTTGAGGTCCTCTGGTGGTTTTGGACCCGGTTTTGTCTAACGTGGCGAGTGAGTCAGCGTGGGGCCCACGTGGGTCCCACGTGTCAGGTGTCCACCTCACCCTATCTCTTTCCCCTTTCTCTTTCCTTCCTCATCTCTCTCTCTAGCGGATGGGGAGCGGCGGTGGCGGCAGGCAAGGGCGATGGGGTCGACGGCGGTGACGTTGAGGAGGTTGGAGATGAAGACGGCGGAGGCGTAGAGCGGTGGGGAGGAGCGGAACGATGGCCCTCGCCCGCGCCGCGCCGCGACGGCGAGGAGGATGAGGAGGAGGGCGAGCGCGAGCACAGCGCCGCCGCCTCAGATTCGCCGTAGCCTCTCCGTCATCGGCGAGGTCGTCGGCCGCTGCCGCCACCACCACCACCAGACGCCACCACCGCCACCACCACCACTCAGCCCCGCCGCCGACGCCGTTGTTTCCGCGTCGGGAGGAGCGGGCACGGGGCACGCCGACGACCGGCGGCCGGCGAATAGGGAGCGGCGGCCAGTAGGCGGTGGTGGCGAAGGCGGAGGCTGTGGAGGTGGCAGCCCCCTAGCAGTGGGCATGGTGGTCTGCGGCGTCGGCGTCGGCGTGCCCCGCGCTCGCTCCTCCCGACGGGATCCTCTCCTCCTCGTCGACGTCGTCGTCCCCCATTTCCCTACCGGATCCCGCCGCGGCGCGGTGGCCGACGTTCTCCTCCTCCTCCGCCGCCGCATCGACGGTGCGTCCATGGCGCGCCCGGCGCTGAAATTGGCGCTCCCAGCTATGCCCCCTACGCGGCTGACATCGGCGAGCGCCACCGCGCTTGTCGACGGCGTGGTGGGGGTGGTGGCGGACAGGCCGTCGGCGAAGGCGGTCAAGGTGGCGCTCCACGTGCTCTACCGGCTCTGCCCTTGGAGCCAGAACCGCGTCAAGGCGGTCGATGCCGGCGCCGTGTCGGCGCTCGTGCGTCTCCTCCTCAACGAGGGCTGCGGCGGCGACAGGCGCGCCTGCGAGCTCGCCGTCGTGGCGACGACCACATCTGCAGCTACGCGGAGGGGCGCATGGTGCTGGTGGCACACCCGACGGGGCTCGCGGCGGTGGCGTGTGCGGCGACACGGCTGTCCGCCGCGGGCACCGAGAGCGCCGTGCGCACGTTGCACGCCATGGCGAGGCACTCGGTGACGCCGGCGGTGCTGTAGGAGGTGCAGGTCGGCGCCTCCGGCGAGCGGACGAGGGCGAGGGCGTGGTGGCCCGCCTGCCGCCACCGCCGCTCCCCATCCGCTAGAGAGAGATGAGGAAGGAAAGAGAAAGAGGAAAGAGATAGGGTGAGGTGGACACCTAACACGTGGGACCCACATGGGGCCCACGCTGACTCACCCGCCACGTTAGAGAAAACCGGGTCCAAAACCATCAGAAGACCTCAAGCGAACGGTTTTGTTAGTTGAGGGACCTCCGATATCTGGTTTTACGGTTGGGGGACGATTTTGTAACTCGATAACAAGTTGAGGGACCTTCGGTGTACTTTTCCCTATTCGAACCGTAGTACAGGAGTTTGTTGGAGTCGCAATCAAAAGGTGGTACTAGAAAATCGGGGACCATTTCGTTTTTGAAGAGGAGAGGCGGAATCGTAGCGAAATCGAATGAAAAATGGTCCACGGGGCATCAGTCCATCACGCGGACGCAAAGCGAGCCGCGAGGCTCAACCATGGCCAGTCACGGATGAGCAAATCCAGTCCAATCGATTCCAACTCTCTCTAGTGACCACTCGACGCGAACACCGCACGCTACACTCGCTCGAGCGAAGAAATGGACGCCGCCGCCGTCGCAGCTGCCGCGTCGTCGCAGCAGCCGGCGGCCGCCCCGCCCCTTGCCGGGCGTGTGGCCATCGTGACCGGCGCGTCGCGCGGCATCGGGCGCGCCATCGCGGCCCACCTCTCCGCGCTCGGCGCCAGCGTCGTGGTCGGGTACGCGTCCAGCGCCGCGAAGGCCGACGCGCTCGCCGCGGGGCTTCCCCGCGCCGTGGCGGTGAGGGCCGACGTGGCCGACGAGGCCGGCGTGCGGTCGCTCTTCGACGCCGCCGAGTCCGCCTTCGGCGCCGGTGCGCCGCACATCGTGGTGGCGAACGCGGCGGTGCTCGACGACAAGTATCCCACCCTGGTGGACACCGCGACGGCGGACTTCGACCGCACCTTCGCCGTCAACACGCGCGGCGCGTTCCTGTGCCTCCGCGAGGCGGCCCACCGGCTGCCCCGCGGCGGCGGCGGCCGCATCGTGGCGATCACCTCGTCGGTGGTCGGGTCGCATCCGACGGGGTACTCCGCGTACACGGCGTCGAAGGCGGCCGTGGAGGCGATGGTGCGGACGATGGCGAAGGAGCTCAAGGGCACCCGCATCACGGCCAACTGCGTCGCGCCGGGGGCCACGGCGACGGACATGTTCTTCGCCGGGAAGAGCGAGGAGCGCGTCGACGAGATCAAGGCCACGAACCCGATGGGGCGGCTCGGCGAGGCCGGCGACATCGCGCCAGTGGTCGGGTTCCTCTGCACCGACGCCGCCGAGTGGGTCAACGGCCAGGTCATCCGGGTCAACGGCGGGTACGTGTGATGCATAGCTCGTGGATTTATTGGCGGGAATAAAGTTCGAGTGTTCGCATGTTGAAAAAAACTGAATAAAATTTGGGATAGTGAGCAGCAGCACTGACTTGCTAAAACATCACGCACAGCGAACAAATTATACATACACAATGCTCTTCTATTTATTTTGATATTTTTAGTCACAAACGTCAGCGGGTGCCGTTCATGGCGAGCGTGCACCGCGTCGGTGGACTTCGATTACATGCATGTCAGCATTTACGTACACCGGTGGCGCGTTCCTTCTCCTCGTCGTTAAGCACCATCGCTCGCCCGCGCTCTGCTGCTGCGTCACGTCCGGGTGGGCTCGGTTAATCAGCTGGACCGGGCAACAGCGAAACGCAGCGTCGCACCGGCCCATAACGCTAACGCGCCTCATTTGGGCCGAAACGGGGTTGCCACGAACGTGACAGGTTGAGGGAGTTGGTTTTAGGCAAAATTTGCTACTGGACATAAAAAACGTGTAATTAGCTCGTGGACACCGCAAGAATGAGAATTTGCTATTGGGCAAAAAAAAACGTGTAATTAGCTCCTGGACACTTAAAGCCTTATTTTAATATTTTCTGTGAATTTGGAGAGAGAAACACTGGTGAGAGTACGATTTTGCCCCTGCCCTCACAAGTCACACTGGCCAGAGCACGGCGCCGCCACCACCTCCACCGCGGTCGCGCGCCCACGCAGGCCGCCATCGCACGCGCATCTACACCGCCGCTGCCGCTGCAGCCAGCCAACGAACGGGCATGCCGCTGCCGCCGCCGGCAGCCGACGCACGCGTGCGCCGCTGCCTTCTCCCCCATCTGCGCCGCCGCGCCGGAAGACAGCGACATGGTTGACAGGAAGGAGGAAGCCGTGGAGCTCGAAGATGCTGCGCATCGACCGCACGTGGAAGTCCGTGAAGCCGACGAGCATCCCCGCCGTGTGCGTCCACCGCTAGAAGCTCTACGCCAACACGCGGTACGGGATGGTGTATGCGTTCCCCGAGCTGCATACGTGGAGCGCAGCTTCCTGGTGGAGTCCCCACCAGGCTCTCCACCGGGCACCGGCGACCGCCGCGGGCTGATGCAGGTGGAGCTGCTCCGACCCGTGGCCGCAGCTGAGGAGGAGGGGTTCAAGGTGCGCATGCTGGACGAGTGCGGCGAGACGTGGGAGGAGGCAGACGACATCGGCGACGTGGCGGTGGTCGTGGACGCGTCTGGTGCGGGGGCGGCATCCACGGGGGAGTGCCCCAGGCTGAGGCTGAGCACCATGTACTTCGCCGTCGACCCCGCTGGCAAGACGCGTGTGTGCACGTACAGCCTCGCCGTGGCGGGCAGCTCCATGCCGCCCACCTCTCCTGCTGTCGCGAGCGTTCACGCTGGCCGCCTCTCACCCCTTTCCCATAGACATCATCACGCCCGTTCTGCGCCGCTCGCTGCCACGCCCGCGTCGCCTCGCCTCTCCCGTCGTCGCGACCTAGCGCCAGCCTGCCGCCGCGCCGCCGGCGCATGCAAGCCAAGCCGCCCCTACGGTCCCCAAATCCAAGGGCAAACTTGTCTTTATTTAGTGTTTCTCTCTCCAAATCCACAAAAAATAATAAAATAACACCCCGAGTGTTCAGAAGCTAATTACACGTTTTCTCGATGCCCTGTAGCAAATTTTGCCTTGGTTTTATTAGCAGGAGAACAAACTGTAAATTGAGATTTATCAAGGTACGAGTTCCTTGAATACAATGGGATCGTAAAGTTGATCGGGACGCCAACGCTAAAATCTTGGGGCTCGCTGTTTTTTAATTAATTGGAAATGCAGGAAATATATTTTTAAAACATAACGGGAAAATATGAGTCAACTTTTTAACGTGTACAGATGGTTTAGATCCATGCAGCCCCTAACCTACCTCCCTATTTCAATTTTACTCGTTGACACCAACACATTCCTTGTTTTTCTTTTCGCCACCACAAGCGCTACCGTTAACAAGGCTCGCCATACCACTTCCTCCCCCACCCTTCCTACTCCTCCAAAGTCGAGCGGAAGGTACCACAGTTCTTTCCCTATCTACGGTGGCTCGCACAGCTGAGATGCTATATTGTCCATGTCTCCTAAGTCCTAACAGGTGCAGGTATGATGCCCTCTCCTCTAACGTCTCCCCATCGTCTTTTTCCATTTTTGTTGCTCTGTTTCCTTGTCGCCTACCTATGTCTGTTGTCCACCGTTGGTTTTCCACTGCTTTGGCCATCTCTCTAATGTTATCCTCGCTACACCCTATTCCCACCCATCATAATCTTGAAAAACATAATTTAAAGCTTCTCTATCAGAGTTGGGGGGTCACAGGCACCAAGCCTCACTATTGTCGGTTAGTTCGCAATCTCCGTCCCTCTACTCTCTTCCTTCCTCCTCCGGTTTAGGGGTGAAGGACAATGCCTTGGCCATTGGATCTTGATTTAGTGGTCATGGCTTGACGATTGAAATTTTGTTTAATTTCAGTGACCCGATGAATAACTAAGCGTAAAAACCGTTGCTATCCAAACTTGCCGACATCTACGGTAGTAGTTGCCTTGCCGTCACATGGTAAGACAAAATGACAGTCATCCCGGTGAGGTTGCAATCAGCCAATCACTGAACACTAAAAAAACATGATGTTACCGCAAGATAAGGCATGCAATTGACCCCGGTGTTTCGTAAAAATAAAAAAAAAAGAAAGAAAGATTCCAGTGGCAGATTCTAACAGAAATTACCCAGCTACAAAACAAAACTTGACAGCTTAGTCGTCAGCTCCCAATATCTCCGGTGAACCGGGAGCACACGTTTCTTTCACACAGCTATAAAACTAACCAATTACCAGTCCAGACTCCAGACAATCGTATTCCAAGTTCCAACTTTCCAAGAGAAATCCGCAGGGAAGCTACAAGGCGATCGAAGGAGCCCCAGAAGAAGTCAAGCAGATAATGAGTCCGCTTCAGGATAAAGATCTCAGGTCCCAAGGGACGAGCCATTCCAAGTGCAATGACGCACAGCCTCTCGTCGACAAAAGACGATCGAATCGGACGCACGCACAGAGAGCTTCGAGTGACCGAGTCTCCTCCATGGCAGGCCAATCATGCGATCCGCCCAGTGCTCCTTCGACACGGCTACCTACGTGCCTACGTACACCACCTGCTCCTTTCCACACGACGAGACACATGACGTTGCAAGTGCTGGCTGGCAGCGGCAAGAGGCAAGAGCTATAGGAGTAACAAAACACGCAATTGCATGATCGATGATAGTAATCATATCGCTCGTGATTAGACAAACAGTTGGAATAGCCCAGCACTAAGATTCTGCTCTGCAGGCTGCAGCAGTTACTCCCTCCGTCCAAAAAAAGACAAACTCTGGTTTCCGTATACGATGTTTGATCGTCCGTCTTATTTGAAAAAATTATAAAAAAAATTAAAAAGACAAGTTACACATAAAATATTAATTATGTTTTATCATCTAACAACAATGAAAATACGAATTATAAAAAAATTTCATATAAGACGGACAGTCAAAGTTGGACACGGAAACCAAGGGTTTGCCTTTTTTCGGGACGGAGGGATTACCTAAAAAAAACAGCCTTAGCTGTGATGATGTGGAGCCTATTTAGTTCGCGAAATAAAAATTTTTAGGTGTCACATTAGATGTTTGACTGGATATCGGAAGGGGTTTTTGGATATGAATAAAAAAACTAATTTCATAACTCGCCTGGAAACCACGAGACAAATCTTTTGAGCCTAATTAATTCGTCATTAGCACATGTGAGTTACTGTAGCATTTATGGTTAATCATGGACTAATTAGGCTCAAAAGATTTGTCTCGCGATTTTTTCCCTAACTATGTAATTAGTTTTTTTAATATATATTTAATGCTCTATGCATATGTCAAAAAAATTCGATGAAATGTTTTTAGGAATAGGGCCGTGATGATCGCAGTGATGATCCTCGTCCTCTGCTCGGATGTGGATGTTGGAACCGATGATCATTCGCGATACAGTCAGCCATACGGGGGGGGGGGGGGGGGGGGAGAAACTACTATTCGCAAGGCCAACGGTTCTTACGCGTTACTCACCCGTTCGCCACTGGAAACACCACTTCCCGTTCGACTTGCATGTGTTAAGCATGCCGCCAGCGTCCGCAGTTTAGAAGACTTGGCTAATTGACAGTACAGAGCAATCAATCAGAATCGATCGACGATCGGCATCTGGATCGGTGGTGGTCGGCCGCGAGCAACAAGACAAAGCCGCGAGCCGGGCGATTAGTATCGCGAGTCGGGCCCAGCTGCTGCGTCAGTGCGTGATCCGAGCCACCAGCCGCCGCCGCCGCGCGCAGCGACGCGAGCGCGCGGACACGCACGCACGCGTGACCGGCGGAAGGCGAACCCGGTATGGAGCAAAACCAAGCGGCGCGGCGTGGCAAGGCGACAAGGATCAAATGGCCGCCGGGCTGAGCTGGATTCCAAACCGCGGCACGGGTCGTAGTAGACTAGTAGTAATGCTGCGCGCGCACAGGCTTGGTTGGTTGGTTGCCTGGTGCTTGGCTCCGATGAGCCATGTGTGCCACGCATGCCACGCGGCGTGTTTGGTTATACTTTAGTTTTAGTTTTAAGATGATGACGCGGCTCGTACTACTCCCTCGAAAAAAAAAAGACAACTATTAGAATAAACTTGGATATAAATTTGTCTAAATTTATCCTCAGAAGTTGGTTTTTACAAGAGACGGAGAATATACATGTTTAGAAATAGAACAGTGGTATGATTACATGATATTTGTGCTTTTCTTTTTTTAGCCGCAACAGTTAGGGGAGTGGACGTGTGGTAGCGCAAATATGCATAGCCAAGTACTCCATCTATTTAAGATAAAACACATCTAAAATAGAATAAGTAAGAGTATTTCTAGTAATAGCTCTTAAAGGTTAAATGGGGGTTACCCCCATTTCCCCAGGACTTTAAAAATAGTTCTAACTCTAGCAACAACCCCTATTTATTAGCCGCTATTACATTTTCTCCTCTATTTCATCATATAATCTATCTATTTGTCTAGTTTAACATCACAACAATGTAAATATTAATATTTCCAACGCATTGAATTTAATCATATTTAAATTAATAATTTCAAACAATTCAGATTGAAATTTGATCTTTTTAAAACATTGAAATGGCAATCCTAGTGATATCACATTGATCTGTGCATGTATATATACACACACACTAGTGTGAGTGCATGAATGACTCGCTACAATGCTCGATCAGTGCATCTGCTGTAGCTGCTAGCATTAGCAGTTCATCATCCCATCATCAATATCCAATAATATATATACATGTATATATGGATGCATATATATAATCATATAAGATGGATTGATGGGCTGGACGAGATTCAGATATAATTATCCAGTGCGTACACAGTACTGTAGGCATATATGCAAGGAAATGGTAGTAGTAACTCCTAGATCAGCCAGATCAAATCTCAGTTGGCCACTGGCGGCAGATGATTGTTGACAATTGACAGGAACCAAACCACGTCTCATCGATACGCAGAAACAAACAACCATGCATGCGTGCATTCATGCAGGTGACCAATACCATATCATAGCGATGGCTGGATCAGAGCAGTCACTTGCAAGATGACCGACGGCGTGCTGTGATCGCGCGGGAGGGAGCGCGTCGTGTAAATATTCCTCGCGCCAAAAAGAAAAAAAGTTCGATAGGGGCTGTGGTGTAGAGCCCCCAAGCTAGGGGCTGAGGGAGGGAATTTGAGAGCCTTTCTATTATGGGGTTTAAAGTAGCGGCTCTGCTAGAGTTTATTTTTTTGGCCTTAATCTCTTAAAGTTGTTTAGGATCTATGTTTAGGGTTTTTACTGGAGATGCTATAATAATATAGTACATTCTATCCAGATTTTTTTTTTACTTTTATGTAATATCATATCATATGTTTATTTTTAGAACGGAGGTAGCATATATCTAGATATAAGCTTAATTATTGCTTTACTAGTACGCCCAATCCAGACCGACGTGTGCTTAATTAATTCCTGGCCAGGTTCAACTTGGTTGAATAAACAATTGTGATTTAGCTAACAGAACATTACTAACAAAAAAAATGTATCGTATTATAAGGTACAAGGTGTTTTGATTTTTTTTTCTAAATACTTTTATAAGCTTGACCGAGTTTATAAAGAAATGTAGTAACTCTTATAACACCAAATCAATTTCATTAAATTTTACTTTAAATATATTTTAATAGTATGTTTGTTTGATATAAAAAAAAATGATACTATGTTTTTCTATCAATATGGTTAAACTTTTAAAAAAAGATTGACTTAGAAAAAAAATTAAAGTGTGTTACGATATGAAATGGAGGGAGTACTATTCTCAGTTCAGGATGTAAGTACACTATATCGGACGATACATACATGATGTTCTTTCACTACTAGAGAAGTGATCTTTGCTAGGTCAGCTGATTTCCACAATAGTCCCGGTTAAAAAATTCAACCCGCCGTATATAATCCCTAGGACTAGGACTTATCCTCGAATCCTCTATCACAAAGTTTTTCTCTCCATCTTCCTCCTCTCTCCCTCTCCTATCTCTCTTATCCTCTCATCTTTTCTTGCTCTTATCCACTCTTTCCTTGCAGAGACAGTAGCGAAGCGGCGGAACCGGCCTGGTGCGGGCGGAGGCAGCGGCGGCCTGGCACGGTGCGGGGGTGGCGGCCTGGCGCAAAGGCAGCCGGCGCGGCACGGCGGCGGCCGGCGTGGCAGGCGGGCAACGCCTCTGAGATTTTTTTTTTTTGAGAATTTATGATTTGGATCTGAGATGTATTTGATTTGTATGTGATGTGAATATATGATGTATTTGTGATGAATTTTTTAGAACTTGTGATGTAATTTTTTTAAGAATTTGTGATGTATTTGGAGATGATCGATTTGAGGATTCGGAGAGGATCCTTTTGATATGTGATGTGATGATCAATTTGGGATTTTACAATTTGGGGATGATTTGGGAATAGAGTGAAATCAATATTTATTGTTAAAAAACAATAAAAAAAGAGCAACTGGACCTAGCCTGGCTCTAAAAATAGATTTTTACTCACGGTTATTTCACCCGGGACTAAAGATGGACATCTTTAGTACCGGATTCCTAGTCCCGGTTGTATAACCGGGGGTACAGGGAGTTCCCAACCGGGACTAAAGCCTCCTTTTTCCAGCAGTATTTGTTGGCTTGAGTCTAGAAGAGGGTCGAATCACTAACCCACTTCACATGATTGATGGGTTCTGTTTTTAAAGATAGGAGTGGATGGATCACTGATTTAGGCTCCCATCGGATGGCCTAATCAACCAAAGAAAAAGCCAAATTTTGAATTTTCAAGCTTAATTTTGAGATTGATTTTGAAATATTTTCAACGTAGTTTTTTTTAACATTGGCTTTTAAGTCACCAAGAACACATTTATAAAAGTTTCACCTATAAATTTATTTTTATTTCTTAATAAGCCGTTTTGACTTATTAGGAAATAAGCTAAACGATGGGGACCTTAATTGTAATCAAAATGATGTTTCTATCGTTTGAAGCCAAATTTATGCTCTTATGAAAAATAAAATAAAGTTTCTCGCAAAAGAAAAAAAAAATGGATCCATTTTACACCCTACTGGCTACTGCCCACACTTACATCCGTCTTATTTTTCCAACTATTTCTAAAAAAAAAAAAGAAGCTATTTTTCCAACTGTATTTAATTTGGTCGATTTCTTCAACTGCTTCTCCTGCAACACATTATATTGATTCACCTGCCAAGATTGTGTATAAGAAGAAGCGTGTAGGCGCATCTACGTCGTCGCCACAACCCACAATGCCTGTAGGACGAGCTACACGTGGTTACTAATTTAACTTATCACCCTGCACGCATGTTCGGCCCGCCGGATTAACGAAACGTACGACCAAGAGGCTAGTTAGAGAGACTTCTCTGGTTAATTAATCTGTTGCAGTGATCAGTAACACGGTAATATAACAGTACCATTAACGAACAGAGCTGATCAGCCATATGTACCAAAACAAACCAATCCCTTGCATACCATGAAACATTTAGTAGCTAGCGACGATAAAAGATTAAAGTGCTCCTTGTCAATAGAAAAATAGTATTGATGGATGAGTTGTAAGATAACCTGAAATTAAATGTTTCAATTTACGGATCGAAGTAGGAAAGATTATGAATTTTTAAGAGAAAAGATTATTATACTGACAACGGATTAATGATCTATTAATTTATTTTTTAAATATATTTTGGAACGAAGTAAGAGTAGTGCATACACGTTGCCACAATGGTGGTAGGACAAGCTACACATGACAATTAATTAAATAAAATGTCACCCTTCACCTCCTGTCTGCCTCATTAACAAAACGTAACTACCTCGAGCGACATCTCTGTTATACTAATTAAGGTACTTCCTATGGCCAAGTTTTAGAGTTGAACACGGTTATTAAGAAAATAGATAGAAGTGAGTAGTTGATGGTTGTAATTTGATGAGTAGTGAAGGTAGATGAGAAAAGTGAATGGTGGAGGGTTGTGATTGGTTGGTAAGAGAATGTTGGTAGAGAAGTTATATTCTTTGGAACAAATCTTAATTGGTAGAAGTTGTTTTATTTTAGGACGGAGGGAGATTATGTCCTTTGATAATACATATTTTAGATACCATCTTCCTAGAGTAATTAAGATATCCAAACCACTTAACTATTAATGTACTAAAATATTTTTTATTACCTTTGTTTTCTTTTCTTCTCCTCAATGCAATAACTTTTTAATAAATGCTAGGAGTTAACTCTAAGCTGTTGTCATACGTAGCAACGATGTTTGTTTTTCCTCCCCCTCTCTCTTCCACAACACCAAATTTACTTGCATGCTAACCTAAAGAGTCCGTTAATAAAGACCGTTGTACATTAGCTCAAGCAAAACTCAACCACCTACCTAAAACCAAGCTTGTTAATTTCAAGCCGAAGCTAAACTGAGTTGCTCTTCAAGACTTCAAGCTCGTGCACTTGAATTTCAACAGGACATACAAAATTAGTTTCAACCATGCAGGAATGACACATGAAACAACACCAAAATGGTTATGATATTTTAAATTTGTTGTTCCGGTCGGCCGTTGCTGTAATATTACCGGTCTTTGCCGCCGGTGTGCTAGTACCTCGATGGAGGAGAGTCAAGGAGAGTTGAGGAACGATACCAGAAGGGAACGCAGACGCCATCCTAGGATGAATATTCATTAGACATACAATTGATGATTGTGAAGAAAAAAAAAGTAAAAACAAAAGATCTATAATCCGATCGTAATTGTTTGTTTAACTCCCGTTACGACAACTCGACGAGAGGATTTAGAAGTACATGTACGTTTAATTTGAGCTAGAACCAAATACAATTATAGCGATAAAAATTTTAGAGATAAAAATAAAATCTTAGAGATAAAATGTACTGTAACTTGTCTTATATCTCCTATACATTGTTCCAAAAAAACTAAATGTACTGGAGTACAAGAGAATACAATAGAATAGAACAAATCATTATTGTTATGTTACTCCCGGCATTTGAACGCGATAATCCACCGAAACCACCTCTGTTTTCCAGCGTGCAGATTGCACCGGCGATGGGATACGAACACTGCAAATTTGCCCCTGCGAGCCGCAGAAATTCACGTGTTTGCCCCTCGGCTGCTGGTGGCTGCGGCTCGGTATAAAAATCGCGGCAAGCGTCGTCTCCAGGTGCATCTCGCGAAAGCAGCCAAGAAGAGAGAGAGAGAGATAGAGAGAGAGTAGATAGACACTCCACTGCGGCAATGGCCGACGAGGCCACCACCACCCCGCTGCTGGCGAGCTACAAAGCCAAGCCGGCGAAGGCGCCGTCCATCGACGACGCCATCGAGACCTACATCGGCGCCACCGGCGCCGGGCAGCTGTTCAAGGCGATCCTGCTGGCCTTCGCGTGGGCCTTCGACGCGCAGCAGGTGTTCATCTCCGTGTTCACGGACGCCGAGCCGCGCTGGCACTGCACCGCAGGCGCCGACCCGTCCTGCTCGCCGGGCGCGGCCTCGCCGTGCGCGCTCCCGCCCGGCGCGTGGGCGTGGGACCGCCCGGCCGAGACGTCGGTGGTCTCCGAGTGGGCGCTCAAGTGCGCCGGCCCGGCGCTCGTCTCGCTCCCGGCGTCGTCGTTCTTCGCCGGATGCCTCGCCGGCGGGTTTCTGCTGACGACGCTCGCCGACTCCCTCCTCGGCCGCAGAAAGATGCTCCTGGTGTCGCTGGCGTCCATGTCGGTCGCCGGCGTGCTCACGGCCTTCTCGCCGAACGTGTGGGCGTACGCCGCGCTGCGGTTCGTGTGCGGGTTCGGGAGGTCCATGGTGGGCACGTGCGCGCTGGTCCTGTCCACGGAGCTCGTCGGCAAGCGGTGGCGCGACACGGTGAGCGTGGCCGGGTTCGTCTGCTTCACCGTTGGGTTCCTGTCGCTCCCGGCGCTCGCGTACACGTTCCGGGAGGCGTCGTGGCGGAGCATGTACCTGTGGACGTCGCTCCCGTCCCTCGGCTACGCCATCCTCCTCTACTTCCTCGTCCAGGAGTCGCCGCGGTGGCTGCTGGTGCGCGGCCGGAAGCACGACGCCATCGAGACGGTCCGCCAGATCGCGGCGCTCAACGGCGGCGGCGGCATCACGTGCAGCTTCTCCATGCTGCACGCGTGCGCCACGGAGCGCGAGGACGACGCCGCCGGCGGGGCCGGCGGCGGCGGCGGCGGCGTGTTCGCGACGCTGCGGTCGATGTGGGAGCGGCGGTGGGCGCTGCGGAGGCTGGCGGCGATCATGACGGCGAGCTTCGGCGTCGGCATGGTCTACTACGGGATGCCGCTCAACGTCGGCAACCTGGGCTCCAACCTCTACCTCAGCGTGACGTACAACGCGCTGGCCGAGTTCCCGTCGTCCGTCCTCTCGTGGCTCCTCATGGGCAGGATCAACCGGCGGAGCTCGGTGGTCGCGCTCACCGCGGCGGCGGGGGTGTGCAGCCTCGCGTGCGTGGCCATCCCGGAGGGCACCGGCGGGCGGATGGCCGCCGAGGTGCTCTCCTTCTTCGCGACGTGCACGGCGTTCAACATCATCCTCATGTACTCCATCGAGCTGTTCCCGACGTCGGTGCGCAACTCGGCGGTGGGGATGGTGCGCCAGGCGCTCGTGCTCGGCGGCGTGGCGGCGCCCATGCTCGTGGCGCTCGGCCGGGAGCGGAGCTTCTGGTCGTTCGGGGTGTTCGGGCTCGCCGTCGGCTGCCTCGGGCTGTTCGCCGTCTGCCTGCCGGAGACGAGGGGGAGGAGCATGTCGGACACCATGGAGGAGGAGGAGCACAAGGAGGCCGCCGCCGCCATTGGCGACATGGATAGCAATGCCGACCTCGTGTAGATCGATCGCCTCCAACTCGCATCTTGGCGCCGGATATTTGCTCGATCGTGCTGGTCCATGCGAAGCTGTCGCTCGCGTGTAAGCTACTGTCCACTTGCACAATATAAACAATCAATTCATGTCCACTGGTGCATGCATGAACCATGAGAAAAACCAGTAGTAGTAACTCCGAACTAGTAAAGTAAGTCGATTAGGACAATATAAATCATGAATAACTCTTAAGTTATTAAGTTTGAAAATATAAAAAGTTATATGAATAGATTTGTCTTGAAAAATACTTTTATAAAAGTATACATATATCACTTTTCGATAAATATTTTTATATAAACGAGAAGTCAAAGTTATGTTTTGAAGACCGTGTCGGTGTCCAAAATGGCCTTCTTTACTAATATAGACTGGGGAAGTAAGCTGCTAGTAGAAGTAGTACGGAGGGAGTATTTGCATTACCTGGAAGTCCACATAGCGACCAATTCTTGTCTGCATTGACTTAGATCTGATCTGATCCCAAAATATGCTGGGAACATCTCTCCAGGATTAAAATCCATATTCTCTAGCGCATAGTACTGATCATATCTATTTGATAGTAGTGGAATATTCATTTAGGCTGAGTTTTTTTATGACTTCCCCAACTCATCTATCTTTGTTTTCCACACAAACGCTTTCGAATCTGCTCAATGATGTGTTTTTTTTAAAAAAAAAATCTACATAAAAGTTGCTTTGAAAACATATTGATTCTTTTTTTTATAAAATAAACTAGTTCTTAACTAATTTATCATGTGCTAGTGAGTCGTTTCGCTTTGCGGACGCGAGTGATTAGTTCCCAATCCCAAATGCATGCAGTAAGATTAGATAATTTATAGTATCCAACCCTGCAAGTAAAATGTGCTTTGCGTGAAAGACTATCGGTTTAAGTCAGCTATGTTGCTGCGTTAATTAATTTTAGGTCCTGAACTTTCAGGGGGAAAAAGGGGAGAAACTACCCCAAAAAGGGAGAAACTACCCCAAGCAGTTGTTGGCTTTGTTGCTATGCAAGGTTTATTTAGTTCTGTATGACAGCCAATTTGGAATATGCTCAAACCATTTGTTTAACATCAATGATAAGCAAGTTGCTTCAACCGCGCTTTTCTTTTCTTTATTTGGAGAACGGTCACTGGTGGAGAAACCATCTTTCGTCGGTCGGCCGATTTCCACAATAATCCCGGATGCAATAAAAACCGGGGCTAAAGATGATCTTTAGTCCCGGTTCAAAAGGGTAACGGGCATATTTGATCTTTAGTCCCGGTTTGTGTTACCAACCGGGACTAAAGATCATCTTTAGTCCCGGTTTGATCTTTAGTCCCGGTTCGAATGCTGTCAGGGCCTGTCAGACCCCCCCGGATCTTTAGTCCCGGTTGGTAACACCAACCGGGACTAAAGATCGTAACTACCAACCGGGACTAAAGATCCCAGTGATCTTTAGCCTCGGTTGGTGCTACCAACCGGGACTAAAGTCCCACCCCTATATATATGTCTTCTTCCTCCTCCAGCTGCCCGAGCAAGCTTCAAAATTTCTTCAAAAAAGAGGGGAGGTCATGCCAAAATTTCTATTGAATTTATTTTGGTGATTACATACAAATCGGAGGTGCCTAAAAGGTTTGCAACTTCATCCTCCAATGTTTTTTTTTTGTCATACTACATTTGCACCTATGTTTTGCACACTTTTTTTATCTCCAAAATTTAGTTGTAAGTTGATGAGAGAGAAAATGTGTGTGGGGAAGAAAGAATATATAGAAATTTAGTTCATTTGCTAAACAAGGTTTTATAAAATAGTTGAGAAGGAAAACTCTAGTGAAAGTTAATCTTAAATAATAGAAAACAAACTAAAATGAAAATTAAAAGAAGTAAAACACATTAAAATTAGTTTAAAACTTTACAAATAGTTTTTAAGAATTATTTGGTGTAATATTTTATGATTTTTGTATGAATAAAGATATCTTATAATTATTGTATGACTGTCATTATTGTAAGAATAATTATTTGTGTACGGTTTTTTTTGACTCATGTAGATGGATCGGCAATGGATGTACGCTGACCGGCGGTCCAAAGAGTTTATTGACGGCGTGCACTATTTTTTGAGAGTGGCCGAAGCTAACAGGCAAAGGGGTTTTATTTGTTGTCCATGCAATAAGTGTAAGAATCAGAAGGAGTATTCTGCATCCAGGACTATTCATTTCCACTTGTTTGAGTCGGGGTTCATGCCAAGCTATAATTGTTGGACATCCCACGGAGAGCAAGGTGTTGAAATGGAAGAAGATGAAGTGGAAGACGACAATATTCCGGACTTTGCTCAGTATGTTGGATTTGAAGGAAATCAAACGGGCGAGGAGGAAATAGCTGCTGATGGTAACGACGTTGCGGATGATCTTGGTCAGATGTTGCAGGACGCCAGGGAGGACTGCGAAAGTGAAAAGGAGGCCCATAAATTGGACAAGATGTTGGAGGACCACAGAACTTCGTTGTACCCAGGTTGCGAGCAGGGGCACAAAAAGTTGGATACCACTCTGGAGTTGTTGCAATGGAAGGCAAAAAATGGGGTTAGTGACAAGGCATTTGGCGATTTATTGAAACTCGTCAAGAACATTCTTCCGGGGGGAAACAAATTGCCCGAGACAACGTACGAGGCTAAGAAGATAGTCGGCCCGTTAGGACTGGAAGTTCATAAGATTCACGCATGTCCGAACGATTGTATCCTATATCGCGGTGAGGAGTATAAGAACCTAGAAGCATGCCCTGTTTGCAAAGCACTACGATACAAGATTAGACGGGACGATCCAGAAGAAGTTGACGGGCAGCTAACAAAGAAGAGAATTTCTGCTAAGGTGATGTGGTATTTCCCTATAATACCACGGCTAAGGCGTTTGTTCAGGAACAAGGGGAATGCTAGAATGTTGCGATGGCACGCTGAAGAGCGTCAACAGGACGGGATGCTGAGACACCCCGCCGATGGTTCGCAATGGCGAAACATCGACAGAAAATTTAAAGAATTTGGAAAGGACGCACGAAACATACGGTTTGGTTTGAGTACGGATGGCATGAATCCTTTTGGAGAGATGAGCAGCGGCCATAGCACTTGGCCCGTTACGATGTGCATCTACAACCTCCCCCCTGGCTATGCATGAAGAGGAAGTACATAATGATGCCGATTATTATTCAAGGCCCCAAGCAACCTGGTAACGACATCGACGTGTACCTAAGACCACTGGTAGAAGATCTTAAACAGTTGTGGAAGAAGGAAGGTGTCCCCGTGTGGGACGAGGACAAACAGGAGGAGTTTAACCTACGAGCGCTGCTGTTCGTAACCATCAACGATTGGCCTGCACTTAGCAACCTATCCGGACAGTCCAACAAGGGGTACAAGGCTTGCACTCACTGTATGGATGAAACAGAAAGTACGTATCTTAAGCACTGTAGGAAGGTTGTATACATGGGTCATCGTCGATTCCTTTCAGCAAACCACCCGGTACGGAAGAAAGGCAAGCACTTCGAACATAAGGCCGACCACCGTACGAAGCCTAAACATCGCAGCGGGAAAACAGTGTTTGCTATGGTTAAAGATCTTAAAGTAGTGTTCGGAAAGGGGCCTGGAAGCCAGCATATAGAGAGCGAAGATGGTCACGCGGCGATGTGGAAAAAGAACTCTATATTTTGGGAGTTACCATATTGGGAATTCTTGGACGTACGCCACGCAATCGACGTGATGCACCTCACTAAGAACCTTTGCGTAAACCTTCTTGGCTTCCTAGGTGTATACGGAAAGTCGAAAGATACACTGGAAGCACGTAATGATCTGAAGCATATGGAACAACGCGGCGACCTTCACCCGGAACCAAAGGATAAAGGAAGCCATTACTTGAGTCCAGCCAGCTACACTCTTAGCAAGGCAGAGAAGGAAAGTATATTTGAATGCTTGGAGAGCATAAAGGTACCGTCTGGATACTCCACGAATATCAAGCGAATAATAAGCACGAAGGAGAAGAAGTTCACAAACCTAAAGTCTCATGACTGTCACGTGTTGATGACACAACTGCTACCAGTTGTAATAAGGGGTATCCTTCCAGACAATGTCCGGGCAACAATAACAAAGCTATGTGCATTCATGAACGCAATTTCGCAGAAGGTCATCGATCCGGATAGATTAGAAGCCCTTCAGAATGAAGTGGTGCAATGTCTCGTCAGTTTTGAGTTGATATTTCCACCTTCATTTTTCAATATAATGACGCATCTGCTTTGTCACCTTGTGAAAGAGATCCGTATTCTCGGGCCTATGTACCTACACAACATGTTTCCTTTCGAGAGGTACATGGGCGTTCTGAAGAAGTATGTTCGTAACCGTGCTCGTCCAGAGGCAAGCATCGCCAAGGGTTATGGAACAGAGGAGGTCATCGAATTTTGCGTAGAATTTATCGAAGACCTTCGCCCAATCGGGGTACCTGAATCACGCCATGAAGGGAGACTACGGGGAAAGGGAACTCTCGGAAGGAAAGCAATAATGACGGTAGACAACAATTTATTCCGTAAAGCCCATTTCACTGTTCTACAACACTCTTCATTGGTAGCTCCTTACATCGAGGAGCACTTGGCTCTAGTTCGCGCCAGGAACATCGGTAAGTCCGATGCATGGATTACACGGCATCACATTGATACTTTCCCCGCGTGGCTACGACAACATCTCATGGGTAACGAGTCGATCAACCAACAACTTGCCTTCCTGGCGAGGGGACCGTCTGGGTCGATCACGACATTCCAGGGATATGAGATCAATGGGTATACATTCTACACGAGAGCCCAAGATATGAAGAGCACGAACCAAAACAGCGCTGTTCGTGTCGATGCCATGGGACACGATGGAACAACTGCCACGTATTACGGTGCCATCGAGGACATATGGGAACTTGACTATGGTCCTCTCAAGGTTCCTCTGTTCCGGTGCCAATGGGTTAGGTTGACTGGTGGAGGCGTAATGATTGATGACAGTGGGATGACAACTGTTGACCTTAACAAGGTTGGATACTCGGACGAACCTTTTGTCCTTGCCAATGATGTAACGCAAGTCTTTTTCGTGAAGGACATGTCTAGCAAAGGAAAGAAGGGCAGAGGGCCTGATGAGCCTAAGCGTCAAGTGGTTCTCCCAGGCAAAAGAAAAATCGTCGGAGTTGAGGACAAGACTGACGAGGATTACGATCAGTTGGATGGGCAACCCCCTTTCACGGTGACGATTAACCCTAGCATCCTCCTATCAAATGAAGACACCCCTTACTCACGCAGCGATCACAAGGAGGGAACAATAGTGAGGAGAAAGTACGTGCGGTCAACCGTCACCGCCGATGTAATGCCGTAATTATTGTGTACACGATGTAAACTATTTTGGATGTATTGATTATCCATATAAATCAATTGATGTATGGCATATGTTAATTACGCACGATTATTAGAGGTTTCAACAAGTTTAAATCATGTATATGCTAGTTATATGTGATACTTACAATTTTTAAAAGTTTTAAATCACACAGGTGGCAATTTCATATGTATGTTAATTAGAGTTTTTAACATTTAATTTACTAGCATTCATATGCTAATTATAATTGACTAGAGGATTTTTAAAAGTTTTAAATCACGCAAGTGGCAATTTCATATGTTAATTAGAGTTTTTAACATTTAATTTACTATCATTCATATGCAAATTATAATTGACTGGAGAATTTTTAAAAGTATTAAATTTAATATATTTTTAAAACTATCATTCATATATTAGAGTTTTTCACAATTTAATTTACTATCTTTCATATGCTACTTATATATGACTATTCGAATTTTTAAAAGGTTTAAATCATGCATGTGGCATTTACATATGTTAATTAGAGTTTTTAGCATTTAATTTAATATAATTCCTACGCTAAGTATATATGATGATTACAATTTTTATTAATTTTAAATCATGCAGTATGTACATACATATCTTAATTAGAGTTTTTACCAATATAATAATATCATTCATATATATGCTAAGTATATATATATATTGGAATTTTTATTAATTATAAGTCATATATTTGCTTATTACGATTTATCCACTTAA